CTGTGCATGATATGTGGTCTACAATCAGATCGGTCTGTTTTTCGTTTATTTTGTGATTAATTTGCTTGAGTAGCAATTTATGTTGAATGACAAATCATACAAAACGTGCCAACCTCATATTTTGCCATTTTTTGTGCCTTTGTCTTTGTTAAGTTTCTTTGATAAGCTCTGTGTTGCTCGATTTTGTTGACTTCCTTGTTTCGATAAACGAAAGCGTTAGTAGTTACCGTGGATCTAAAATAATTCATCTGCCGCTGCATTTTTAATCGTGCGCATACAATTAAAAAGACCTAATTATAGCAAGTGTATCCATACAAACAGTTTGAAAGAGAAGAGCGCATAGCTACCACAAAAATGAGCAGCAGGTTCCGGTTTGCCTTTTTTGTTATTTTACATGCAGAAAGTTTGTAAGGGAAAACTGTCAATCAGAAACCATTACGATTAAAACCCCTCACCAAATGCACTTACGATTACAAAGTGACTGTTTATACCGTGTTTCGGCTAGACACTCTAGAACTGAGATCCAGAGAACGATCAATAGCATTGAATTCCAATATTTTGCTTTGAATTTCTTCACTACCCAAAATAAACGAATAATTCGAAAGGCTAGAGACAAGTAAAAATGCTTTTCATGCCGATCTTTGATTGCGTGGCTGTTCTTGATGGCTTGAAAATGCGTATCCCAGGTTTTATCTTTCACACCGAAAACCGCATTCCAATTAATTTTATTAACTTTCCATGGTATAGAAATGGTACGTAGAGTGTCAGCGCCGCATAAAAAAAAAGGTGAAATGACTTTTAGATGTGTTTAAGCACGTTTTTGAACATCTGCAAACAATTCAAGCACGTACCTAAACGCACTTAACTATGGGCGTTCTCTCAAAAAAAAGTGTTTTCAACAACCGAATTTTTCCTTTCATCTAGCTGATGAACTTTAATGAACTTCGTTTTTTTCTTTGATGAACCTTGGAAAAACAGCGGACAGCGTAGATGTACACAAGATAAGTTTAAAGTTGATTGACCTAAAATATTCGCACGCAGTTGTTTGTTAAGGACGCTAAGCCGTAAGATCGATCAAACTCGCGTTAAATATAAATTAAGAGCTTTCGGACTATACCTCTTCTTTAACTAGTCGACTTTTTGCAAATTTCGATCTTGATCTAGAGAGCAGGTATCAGAATAATCTGGAACGTAGGAATTGTAATCGTACTTCATGTATGCTAAGAGATGGCTGACCTTTTACAATTACCTTAGAACTTTCAACCTCGAAACAGCCGAACAAGGGATAAAACACTAACTTAGACCTACAGGAATGAAATGTTTGTGGACAAAGTCTCTTTTTCAGGCTCTGAAAGTGCATTTTTGAATAAATGCAAATTATGTTTTAAAAAAAATTATCGGAAAGAACGCGAGAAGCATACCGGATTAGCTTGTAGCAGATTTTGGTTACGCACTCTCGCGGGGAGTCCAAGGAACTCACTTGAAGCAATTGATACAAATCTATTTTTTAGCAAATTTCTATCCTTCTCGAAAAATGCACTGCATTAATTGACGAGAAAAATAAACACATACCTCAATGACGCGTTGTGCGCAGAAGCTTGCCTTATGTCTCATACTTTCGAAAATCGAATAATCTTGGAAAAATTTCTTTAAGAAAAAAGAGTTTTCACGCATATGTAATGAATGATGTACTTGTTTAAAAGTTATGATGTATAGCTTTGATCACATATGCTTTTGAGTTGTTTTTTTCGGTGGTTGAGTCTTACTGCCTTCATTTATTTGGACTGATTATTTCTGATACTTATTTACGGCAGTAGCCCAATGGGCTCCTGTTTAAGGCGAATGCTCTTGAAAGATTCATTGCAAGTCAGCCTACGCGTACGGCGTGATGTTCGTGGCAAACATGACGGTCTTTGACTTTGGTGCCACCATGCAACCATGCATGCAACAAATATGCTGAAAGTACAAGAGGTTGTGGTATCGTAGACTGGAATTAAAGCTGCATGTACACCAGCAAGAATTTTCTTGGAAAGTTTTTCTAGGAGATAGTTTCAGCGGGAGTGTAGATAAAAAGAAAAGCCAAAATTGGCCTGACCGGTAGCAAGTAGCTGGTTTATGAAAGAACGTCGGATATTTGTTTAGGGCGAAAATTTTCAGAAATGCATACTTTCAGGTGGATTAGAGTTAGTTGAAGAAATTGTCTTCTAACAAGTTTTCCTTCATAAGGGAGCTGAAAAAGGTTTCAAATTTTGAGCCAAACTTGTTTGTTTACTGACTCACTCATGCCCTCTGAACAAGAAAGAGAATTATCTGGGAGAAATAATAGCTACATCGTGTTTTCTGAGAAAAGTGTACATGCATGTATGACTAGAAGGTGAAGACCAAATTGTAATAGGAAATTTAATCAGTCATTTCGCCATGTTCTGCAATAAAAAGTCATCTCCATAATGATTATTGCTAACATTCACTTTGGTGGCTCTTCAAATGAAGCAATATTTTCTCTTAGGTCGACTTAATACCAGAATCATATGACTTCAGTGGAAGACAGCACTCGTATCTAATCAAGCTCGACGTGCTGGAGCCCCGCCTAAAACGTGTACATCAAAGTGCACAGATTTTTCTTTTTTTACTTGGAGACCTATTTGGTGTTCAGCTGATTATTATACGTTTTTCATAAGCATGAAAATGAATGTTTTTATAAATTACATCTAGCTCACGCTATACAAGAACTCAGTTTAACAAGAGGGGATTGGTAATTCGGCCCAGCTGCATGCGATTCTCCTCCTCTTACTCATTGTCTGGTCACAGAAATTGCAGGCGCATTTCAGCTTAATCTAAAAGAAGTGCAAAGATCCAACATCTATGAAGTACAAGAACACGATGATTCTGGAATTTTTCGAACAAAGCACAGTGTGATGTCAGCCAACGATACACACGCTCATTTCCATCGCTCCTGGACGAACCAAGATTATCAAATATTTGCGGACGGTACCCCGGATAAGGTAGAACACAGGGTGCAGTCTCAACACAATGCGCACATTCATGTGAAAGACGGAAAGGTAGAAAGAGTTAAAGCCAATAAAGCATTTTTTAGACCTTCCAATGGTCATCCTAGAGCAGAAAATTGCGAGGGTTTTAAAGGCCAAGAGCAAGATATTGAAATGTCAACAAAGAGATTTAGCAAACCGACGTTAAGATCTTGTCTAGGACCTAAACACTATCGTTCCATGCGCTCGGCATCAGAGGAATCGCATGTGAAGATATCTCGTACTCTCAACAAAGACAATCTTTTGTTTACTGATACTGAGAAGATAAACTAGTCCAAGATCGGTAGAGAGAGGAAAAAGATGAGGCCTTTCCATGAAGTGTTGCGCTGTTTCACCGACAGAAGCATGAAGGAGCGTCGAACAGAGCGTCAAACAGAGTCACTGAGATGATTCACAGCAGCTAAAAAAACAGATCAACACCGTTTCATGGCGACAGCTTGGACCACGAAATATCATACCTCCGGTCAATTTTGCAGAGATCTCGGGTTTAACGGTGACTGGTCATGATCGCTTTATTATGCAATGAAACGATATTTAAATTGCTTCGTAGTTATATTTCTGATTTTGTATTTCTTTTTTGGTTATTCTTTGTGTCATGCAAATGAGACAAGACTAAGACGGTGATCCAGAAATGTTAATCGGAAAAGACACATGAAAACACCTGTTTATTTTCATTATGTTTTCATGGTAACAGCTTTGCATAGAGGCTTGTTTATAGACTTGTTAAGAGACTGGCATTCTTAGATTTTGTCTGAAACTAAAGTTGCCCCCCCCCTTCAAGAAGCCAAGGGGAGCTTGAGCCAAAATATATGACTTCTACTTGTGCTCAATATTATTTCTCCCCATTACCCATAAAAGGAAAGAGCATCGTTAAAACATTAAGGTGCCTTTGAGAAAATCAACGATTGCTTTCTCTTTGTAATTATTGTAAGACCTCGACCATACAAATGCGTTTTTTTGAAAATAGTCACGTTATTCTAGCCGTGCATTCATCGATGCAATCATTCGCCCCCCTTAAAGCCACTCAAACGCTTTTAAAAAAATCATCTCCAATCTTGTGAGAAAAACACCGAACGAGACAGTGTGTCGCAGAGATTAGTACTCCAGCAAGCAGTGCTAAGCAGTGCTGAGATTTGACCTCTGCTCCACAAGGAAAACCTCTGTGGTATGACATGTGAGGATGCCAGTCGAATATAAATATAGGGTTTTTGTAACGGGTTAGTAGAGAGAGTGCTCCGGGAAGGGGGATTCGGAAAGGAAATTTGGATAGTGGTCTGCAACTAAGACCTTTAAACCCTCATCTTCTCAAGACAAATCCTTTTTGTACCACCATGGCAATAAAGAAAAACCTTTTATATGTTGTAGCTTATCGACTTTATGATGCCAAATCCATCCCTGTCAGAGGTGACCAATGAGTGATATCTCCTTTTAATATTAATCAATTGCCAGGCAGAAAGGTGACTAAAACAAAGAAAAACGTCAATAGGTAAAATAGCTGGAAAGGAATGGCGACCGTAAGGCCGGAGAACTTACTTCAAGAAATTGACCCTAAGAGGGCCAAAAACTTGAAAGAATACTAATATCGCAAATGCTGTGCGTTGCTAACATTCAAACCTTATTCAAGAGACAAATATGGAAGTGAGGGAGGGGGTCCTCAAGTCCAACTTCATCTAATGGGCCATTTTCGATGTATTAAAATTCAAACTAGGCTCCTTAGGCTAGGGGGAATAAAACAAAGGAAATTACATCGTGGTTGAGGTATAGATAATTCATATCTTTTGCTTTATTCCCCTCTAGCTTCGGAGCCATGTTGAAATTTTAATACATCGAAAATGGCCCATTACTTAAAGTTTAGCTATGGTGTGTTTATGTACATACGTACACAAAAGGTATGGGCTTTCTGAATTTGTTTAGAGACTGGGTTTAAATATATCACTTCCCTTTCAACATGTATATATATATGTACTTCTTTATTTTAACATATCTAGAATTTAAATCAACCATACACCAATCAAAGAACAGCTTTCTTAACAAGTCAACAAGTCAACCAAATTAGATCTGATTCATATGAAGCCAACAAAATTTAGTTTCTCACCAGCCTATTACAGATAAGTTTCTGTATTTTGTGACCTTTTTGCCTTTTTTTCATTATTAAATGTCTCTCATCAAATCAGTTGTTGGTATCAAATATATTATTACTCTGGTAATAACTTGTAATTAAGAAAATGTCTCGTTAAAACGTTTTGCTGCTGAGCTATTTAAACTAGTAACTTTTATTGAAAAACTATTCTACACGTGCCATCGCTTTAATTTTCTCATTTAGCAAAATTGACTGCCTTCTTTTCAGTGTAAATCAGATTAAAAAAGCTCATAAACGAATTTTCATTTATCCAATATTCTCGCACTCAAAATTGTGGTTGAGATTAGCTGTCTGCTTTGTGAAAGTATCAAAGTCACAGCCCTGGAAGGGGAAGGAAGTCAGCTACCGAAGCAATTCCTCTTGAGTCGTAGAGTTCCCTCGGAAGGTTTGAAGGAGACAGATGACTGAAAAAGCATCTTACATTTCCTGTTGTAAACAAAACATTTTCATTGTTTGTCATTCATAAATACCTCTTTAAAAAGGTTTAGTGGAGAAAGAATACCGCCATAATTGAGTGATCGTAAGGGATTTTATTTTTATTTCTTTTTCTTCTGAGTAAAAAATGTTATATTTAAAATGCGATCAAATCTACTCGGGATAACTCCATTCATTTTTTTTCTCTGCTTCTTAGAGGATTCTTATCACCCTTTTCTGTGAATTCATCAAATTGGAAGAGAACATTTGTAGATATCTTTATCGATATCCCCACATAATATTCTTGTTGACATTGCATCCAGAGGTTGAGTAAATGTTATGTGAAATATTAGCTTATTCCGTATTCATACCTTAAACTTACTAAGCAAGATTTTTAAAGGGTAGAGCTCGATCACAGCATCATTTAAGCCATGTTGTGGAGTGTTGTTGCTCTGCGACCAAAGAATGACGCTGTTCATGAAAAATTATACGTCTAAGATTCACCATTACAGACATTTCACCAAATTTACCTGAAGTGATAAGAGACTTCCGAAAAGCGAAAGTGAGCGTTTGTCACATGACTTAAATACTGTTCCAATAATCACTTCCACACACGTAGAATTGTTCGAATAGAGGGGGGGTAAGTTCCATAAGAAACCGTGGTGCTGCCTGGGCGAGGGGTATAAAATGATAAATTGGTATAATCAACTGAGTTGATGATGTAAATTGGCCACCATAAAGAGTCTCTAAAGCTAACGTTTCGAGCGTTAGCCCTTCTTCATAGCAAATAGAAGAACTTTGGATTGTATCAGTTTTCTTTGCATGAAAATGAAGCAATGCTATTGTTGGGAACATGGTAACGAGAAAAAAAACGAATAAATTAGTTAAATGAAAAGCGTTATATACCGTGGGGATTAAAAGTGCCGGGTTAAACCTTATCAAAATTCTAAGTGAGCATTGATATTCATGCTAGAGAGTCGCTTTACACTCGACTAGATAAGGATCTGGCAAACAAATTTAAAATTCTACGATGTATCTTTCTCTACCTGTTATGGTGCACAACTATCATTGTCATTCGAGAGTATTCCTCCTCCGGCACGATTTTCCATACGGCGACTTACATAGGATACGGACTTTTCGGGCCAAACGATATGTTGGAAGCTTTGGTACTCTTTGTTCTTTACTAGACGTGTTATTGGTGTCCTAGGTACATATTGCCTGTCAGACGTTATCATTGCATCAAAGTCCTGTGGATGAGAACTCCCAAGAACACGAAACTACGAGTTAGCCTTAAATCTACATATTTCTTTTAGTCACAGGATATAACTAATTTTGAAGATAAACTTGACCTTAGCAAGACTCGCCGAGACCTAACTGATACAAGACAATTCAAATTTTGGTAAAAGTTTGAACCTGATTTTGAATTATCTAAAAACTTTCAAAAGCCCTTGTTTTCCATTTTCTTTCCTTCCTGGCATCTCTTGACCCAAGAGAAATGAAGCTAGCTATGAAGATTTCTAAATATGTTTTCCTCGTCCGGCTTGGCAACTAAATCGACTGAGTCAGCTTACATCAATAACTTATTAACAGTTTGGGCAGCAGTAGATTCAGACCTTATAAAAAGGGAAAAACGTTTATAAATCATATCAAAATCATGATAATTGTAACTTTTAACATGAGTAAGCTTTGCAGGTTAAGTGAATGGTATGATGAAATTAAAGTGAAAAGATTCTCTTTATCGTGCAGCAGTTACCAGTCCCTCTCTAGATTCTTATAAATGTTTTCCAAATTCAACTTTATAAGATGCTAAGAGTAGAGAAATTAAAAAAAAATTTGAAATTTAATCGTAAAATTTCAAACTATGAACATTCCAACACGTTATAAGATGGTTTATATAACATTTTGGCTTTTACGTCTCCCAAAGTGACTTCATTCCCCTGTTTTATAACATTCCTGCCGGAATAAAATAAGATTGGGTGTATTCATTCATATTTGACATTTACATCATATATTTCATTACTCTAGAGCCAAAAATTGAATAGCCAAACATCGTGATAAAGTTAGACTGCCACAATGTTTAGTCTTGTAATAAACAGTGGTCTGCCACTTCGAAAATCGCTAAAGGCGAAGATAAGAAAACACTGCGTCCATGAAATGGTCATACCAATGAATGGGATCTAATAGCGCATATAGTGTGGATAAATCTGTTCGCCAAGAACTATTTAATCGTTCGATATAGTTTGTATGAAAGATTACCTTTTAAGGCGAAAAAAAAATCGCGTCCATGAAATAGTAATACCAATGAAAGGGATATCATGGCGTATACAGAGTAGGTAAATCCGTTTGTCTTGAACCATTAAGCCGTTCAGGATTGGTTGTATGAAGCCGAATTCACGCGCAGAAGGCAGAAAGATTACCTTTTATCAGCATGAGTGACATTCTTATTGATTACAGAAGCCATTATAAGACCTTGCAGAATTTGGATTTACATTACATTTGGATTTGATGGATGTAAAGCGTGATGGTCATAGTCTTGGCCTGAAATTAAAGATTGGTTTTTCCCCTTAAAAAGCTGTCTTATAATTTATATATAGGCCCTTTTAGTATTACAACAGAAACACAATTACCTTAAATGAATGAGAAAAAGAATAAGCCCAGTATTAATGATTGGTGGATATATGAAAATCATGTATGTGAAATGCCTAATGAGAAATGAATATGAAAGCTATCTTCGCAGAAATGAACACTACTTACAGTGCAGTGCTTTACCAACCGAGCTAACTAGCCTGAGAGCTGGCTTATTTTTCACTGCTGCTTGAGTAGTGTTCATTACCGCAAAGATTGCTTTCATATTCATTTCTTAATCCGCGGTTCACATCTATGATTTTCGTTTGCTAAACAAAAGGTCTCACCGATTCTTTTACATTTGCATTTGCTGCTGGAAAATCCACACTCAGTCTTTAGGCCACAACTGTTCCCATTACAGTACTGACATATAGAGTTACAACTGAAAAGTGTGCCCCTACACTGGCCATTACTGCAATTATCATTTCGAGTACAGCGGTCACCATCGTTGCACGCTACCCCATCATTGTCTGACCAGGTACTTACATTTTTACTAATGTCGCATCTCTGTAAACAGAATATTAAATCCAAGAGCTCGATTGAGCCTTCCAGGCAGAACAAATGGTCTCTGCATTATCTTCTCAGATTGATTCACATTAAGATTGAGATACAAATTGGAATATATTAGCAATTCCAATTTTTTTCATAACATTTCCATTGATATATAGTTTATGAGGGATCATACTTCAAATAGTACGTTAATCCTTTTTTCTTTTTTTTGCGAAGGACACCCGTCTATCGTATCCATAATATTTGTGGACAAGTTCAAGTCCTTTCCAAGCCTTTTTTTTCAAATTTTCTCTCTCCAATTTCTCTTATTGCAGCTCACCTTTGCGGATCATTTCTTTTTTTAAATAATATTCACTGATCAAAATATTATTCATTTCAATTGATCGTAAACAAACAAACAAACAAACAAAAGTCTAAGTCTGAACGGTGGCGTACCTGACAAGGATTTCCTGGCTTGTAGTGATTCGTTGCGTAACATTTTCTTTGGCCCTCCTGCTGTATTATGCAATATCCAGGCTCAATTGGACAGCCACTGCCGTCATGTGTTTCACAGGACAGGCAGTTGTAGAGCGTTCCTACGCACGTGCCACTTAAACAGCGGTCGTCTTTTGTCTTCAGATTGGTGTCGTTGCACTTAAGGTTATTGTTGTTGGTCCATCTATCATTGTGTTTACTGTCACATTCCTAAGAAGATCAAGAGTAGCATGATTATATTGCAATACTGACACAGCCCAAAGTTCCTCCAAGAATGTACCTCCTATATTCATTGATTATAATAAGAATTATTTTCAGAATGTGTCTTTCTTTTATGAAAGATCTCAATGTTTTGACCACTCCAGTGGGGTGCCCAATGGCATATTCGTACATGTCTTTTTTGTTTGTGAGAAATAGCATTTTGATAGTTTCATCTAAAAAAAAATTACAACCTGAAACTCAAACCAACCTTCGATGTGACTCTGATTGATAAAATTTGCCTTCCTCTATTCGCCCTTTCAGATATACTCAATAGTATCATCCCTTCATTTGGTCTCCACAAGAGGATTCAGTATTTATGCATATTTTTCCTCTCTGCCCAAAGGGCTTTACTGTTATTCCCTCAGGAAGTTCAATATTAATTTGATGAAAAATACAAGGCTACCAACCATATTACCTGGCATTGATGACCTGGTCTTAGTGAACCGTGATTGAAACACTGCCGTATACCGCTTTCGTTGATTACGCAGAATCTTGGTTTCACGCGGCAAACGTCATTCTGGCACTCCTCGCACGGGAGGCACGAGAAAGGCGTGCCGGAGCAAACCCCATTAGAACAGCGATCGTTTTTAGTGCACGCTTTGCCGTCGGTGCATGGTAAAGTATTGTTGTTTGTCCAGGCGAACTTGTCGCTGTCATTACAATCCTATCCAACAAGAAAACACGATTCAGTAACATTAATCAGTTGAATCACGAAGAAGTTGGTTATTTTTGTTTAGCGGGCTAGCGAAACGCTGAGAAGTTCATGGACTTAATCGCAACATAGAGAGGGTAACAATTCATAATAATCCTGATTATAATTACACGAAAGAGTTTCTAAAGGTGACGTTTCGAGCGTTAGCCCTTCGTCAAAGTGAAGGGCTAACGCTCGAAAAGCCAGCTTTATAAACTCTTTATGGTGGCCAATTTACATTATCAACCCAGTGGATAAAGCTAAATTATATTGCAATACTGACACAGCCCACAGTTCCTCCAAGAATGTACCTCCTATATTCATTGATTATAATAAGAATTATTTTCAGAGTGTGTCTTTCTTTAATGAAAGATCTCAATGTTTTGACCACTCCAGTGGGGTGCCCAATGGCATATTCGTACATGTCTTTTTTGTTTGTGAGAAATAGCATTTTGATAGTTTCACCTAAAATAGATAGATAGATAGATAGATAGATAGATAGATAGATAGATAGATAGTTTATTTAAATATACCTAGCAGCCTTGCGGCTGAATTGCGTATATTACAATAATGTAATTAAATAAATATATTATATAACGTATATAAGAATATTCAAAATTATAAACAATTAAAAAATCTATGAGCTAAAACCTATCTATATTTAAAAGCTATATTTACATTATCTACATAGGTTTCTAGGAAACGGTCGTTAATTAACTGTTGTTGTTATATTTAATGAAGGTGTTTTTAAAACGGTTTGTCCTCCACCGGGGGATTTCGAAACGCCTGTTACGTCTTAAATTGTGCTTTGGATGGTTGGCACTAGGCAACAATTCACGAAGCCTGTGATTGTCGTTTTCGATGATGTTGCTAAAGAGATTGCGGCAGCTGTCTTCCATATAAGCCATGATCGGTGGAATGCCGGCAGCCTCTAAAATCTCGTGATAGTCTTGGCCTGGGCTTATAATAGAGAAAGCCCTTTTTTGAACGCGCTTGGTCTCCACAAGAGGATTCAGTATTTATGCATATTTTTCCTCTCTGCCCAAAGGGCTTTATTGTTATTCCCTCAGGAAGTTCAATATTAATTTAATGAAAAATACAAGGCTGCCAACCATATAACCTGGCATTGATGACCTGGTCTTAGTGAACCGTGATTGAAGCACTGCCGTATACCGCTTTCGTTGATTACGCAGTATCCTGGTTTCACGCGGCAAACGTCATTCTGGCACTCCTCGCACGGGAGGCACGAGAAAGGCGTGCCGGAGCAAACCCCATTAGAACAGCGATCGTTTTTAGTGCACGCTTTGCCGTCGGTGCATGGTAAAGTATTGTTGTTTGTCCAGGCGAACTTGTCGCTGTCATTACAATCCTATCCAACAAGAAAACACGATTCAGTAACATTAATCAGTTGAATCACGAAGAAGTTGGTTTCTTTTGTTTAGCGAGCAAGTGAAACACTGAATAGTTCATGGACTTAATCGCAACATAGAGAGGGTAACATTTTCCCAGTAACAGTTTTAGGGAGAATAGGCATTTTCAGGAGTGGTTAGTGAAACTGCATTCTTTACTATGTAACGTCTGGCAGTCTTGACCTGTGTTGACCTTTTAATGAAAAAATAAAAATTTAATCTTCTCTTGTGGACGTCATAAGTTTTTCTTGTAGCTTTTGGAATTTATCAAGATGTTATCCTACGTTAATAAATTACATTTCTCTCCCTCTATCCGATGAACAATGCGTATAAAAAG